TTGAAGTAATTGACCACATGGTGTCCAACGGTTTGTGTTCTCATGTTCTCCAGAGCAAAGTCCCACGGGAGCTGAGGCAGGGGTTCCAGTTCCTAGCACTCTATTGTTTACCCTGATGGCTTCCAGATGCTGGAGACAAGGACAGTGAAATCTTTGGGATGCTGCCAAAGAATGAAAAAGACTAAAGAAAACACCAAGGGTATTTTTTTACATTTTATTTTTAAAGAGACAGTGCTACTTTTCACTAAGACCACCTTCATTTACAGTTCCCTTGCTCTCTCAAGTACACATGACCACACTGTTTCTCTCTTCTGCCCCTTCTCCCCCATCTGTTTCTCTGTCTTTTTCTGTGTGTGTTTAAACAGCTCTGTAATGCAATTAACCAAGGGAAAGCAACGTAGGGGTTTTTTTCCCTTGGCATCCATAGCTCATTTAGCTGTTACACAGTGGATGTGCAAAAATGGTCAGAAAACCCCAGCAAAAACTCCATAGCAGGCAGATCACCAAGAGAGTGTCAGCAGTGATGGGAAAGCCTCAGAAGGCTGTGAGTTCAAGTTTGCTTTGGCACAGCTGGAAGAAGCTTGCAGAATTCTACAAAGTGTTTTTAAACATCTGAACCATGGAAACTAGGGAAGGGGAGCAAGAACGGGAGAGCAGTGGGCACTTTCACCAAGAAAGCCAGAAAGCAGAGAAGAGCAAAGGGAGGTAAAATAAGGAAAACCCCCCAAATCCCTCCTAGTAATTAATTCTTAACTTTCAGAGGGATGAGGTCCAAGAGCAGGACTTCAGTGTTTGGAGACCTGTATTCTAGTTAAGTTTGGCTGCCAGCACACTGAGTTAGAGCAAGTTTCTACATTGCTCCTACGTGTATGCATGTACTTGGGGTTGGGCAGAGACTGTGGAAATCTATAAGAGTTCCTGTTGCTGCCATCAAAAGATGGTGGATGAGAGAGCTCTCCTGCTCACACATTAGAAATACAAGGTTGTGCCTTTGCTTTTCTTTTATTTCTTTTATTACTGCTATAGTAATTTCTTTGCTGAAGTCTTCATGTCTCCTGAGAGGGATGGTAAGTTTTGCAGGAAGAAACCTCCTCTAAAGTAGTCTTGGTAGATTAGTACCAAGTAGTATTTAATTTGCTGAAAAAAAAATTCAGCAAAATCTGCTGTTCAAAAAGAAACAGACTACCAGCTTGATCCTAGATTCACTAGTAAGTGTAAAAAATCTGCTTATATCATAGTTCAAACCCCAGTTATACTCAAAACCTTAGTCAAACTTCTGTCCAGACTTCAGACCCCCTGATATGACCATCCTCTGCTTATTCACTGTCTTCCAAGGAACCCCTTACAAAACCCAGTGATGCTGAAACCTGATGTTCTGAGCCTAAGGTGTGCTAAAAGGGCACAAGTGCATTTCCTTTGTCTTCTTCCAGTCTCCTGGACAGGCTCAAAAGACCCTCATGTCTCTCGCCTTTGTGATTTGGTAGTCTTTGTGTGTGGGGCTGATAAAAATGTATCATTCAGAGACGAGCACTGGTTTGTTTCTAGTGTACATTTCACAGGCTTTTAATGCTAAATGTATTCCTAACTTTTTCTTACTGTATGTGTTAACATTAACACAGAGGAGCTGAATCCTGACAGCACCGAAATTAAAAAGGGTTTAAGAAAGATTTCTCATCAGATGCTGTAAACAGGGCTCTCAGCATGAGCCAATACTTCAGAAAGTGAGTGCAGGGTATGTTTGTACATTGACCTGTCCATGCCCACACATTCTATGTGTTAGACAAATAAAGGACTGTGCTGACACACGTCTCACTGTGCACACCTGGTAAATCCATTCAGAAATTAACTGAGTCACATGATGTGTGAGTTTGTCATCTGTTTGATGACATGCTAAAAATATTAACTGTCTTATTTTGACAAAGAATTAAGCTTTCCAGCTCCAAAACCAGATCAGACCATGCTGAATGCTCAAACAATGCGAGCTCTTTATCACCCCTGAAGTGATGAAGCAGTCTCAACCTTAATTTTGTACCTTTTTAAAAGCCAATAAAATCTAAACTGTATTTGAAAACAAAAGATTCCCCATTATTTTCTAATTAAACTCTTTCCTTCCCAAATAATATGTAATAAATGAGCTGCAAGCCTATTTCTCTCTCCACAAACTCTAAAGAATTTCTGAGGTTGTTCCTACCTAGCATTTGAATCACATCTTGAATGGTGCATGACATCAGTAACCAGTCAGGGGGTTCCATGTTAAGATTTTGTTCTGTTCTATAGCATGCCTAATGCCTTATTTTTTGTTAATGTAGATCTAATAGCAGATATGGTAACTATATTGCTATCTCTAGAGTTGGACCTTTTTTATTTTTATTGTAACTAAAAGCAGTTATTTCCTTCCTTGAGCAGTATCATTTTGTATAGTATCATTTTGTGCATGTCAGGATTGCTGTACTGCACCAGACAAAGTGCTGCTCCAGTCTTTGGTAGGTCCAGCCATGGATGTCAGAGGAGAGTACAAAACCAAGCTAAGCATAAAACAGTTTTACCCCAGTATGCTCCTCCAGACTCCAACAATTTGCAATTGAGGGATGCCCCAAGCCAGTGGTGGTGTCTTCATAAACTCCCTTCTGGTCTTGCTGCTCAGAAATATAACCTGAGAGTACTCTATCTGATAGAGCATAGCTGATATGAGTTAATAACCATGTCGTGAATGTGCTAACCAAGTGGCAGCACTGGGTCATAATTCACTTCCACTGAAACAATCACAAGTAACTAAATGTACCATATTTCTTATTTTGGGTGGAGATGATAAACAATGCAGCTGTCAAATGTTCCATGAAAACCTGTGTTTTCCCTACACTTTGCCTTCTAACTTGAAAGGTGCAGATAGAATCAAAATGACTTACAGTCAGCATAAGAAAGATATGTTTGTTTTCAGACCGGCGCTTTTTGGTGGCTCAAATGGTATCAAGTAGATTAGCAAGAATGTTTTTATAAAAGGCTCCGTTTTCCCTGTTGAGCTGTCTTGGTTCAAACATGCTGCTTGTGTTGGACTTACCAAGACATGTTTTTCAATCTAGTTCCTGAGAGACAAACTCCTGCAGACCAAAGCTGTTACCTCGTGCTCTTCCTGTGCGCTGATCTTACAAGGGCAGAGAGAGGACTGGAGGCAAGGCTGACAGCTTGCACTGCCTCCCTGCACCTGGGCTCAGCTGGGGATTGTATGGCCCCTGCAGACAAGCAGAAGAGCTTTCCCTAGAGGCTGTCCAATGAAAATTTAAACTTAACCAATTTTTGATCTTGTTACTACAGAATAAAACATGAGGAAAATGCTTTGAGGTGGAAAATATAACTATTAATGCGCTACTTTTGTTTATTCCCTTATTCTTACTTTTCTTGCAAGACTTTGTTTACTGCAAAAGACACAGACTCCTTTAGAAAACCTGCATCAATCTCTGAGTATACCATTCCTCTTTAATGTTTTCTGTCAGCAGACTTGAAAAGAATAGGTGCAAAACTGAAATGAGTTCTTAGTATATATGGAAAGAACAAAGTGTGTTGGATGGCAGAGGATATAGTGGACAGAGCTTAAAAGGACCTTTAATATATGATTTTTCCTATTTATTTTCTTAACACTAGGTTTGGTGAAGATGGACGAGGACTTATCCTTAGCTAGTCTAAACAGATATAAATATATGGGTAAATGCTGCTTGATGCCTTTATAGTGGCTGTGAATCTAGCTCCTAGCATTTCCCTCTTAAACTCTGTTACAGAGATGAACTTCACAGAAGGGTTTTTTACTGCAATTCCCTAAATACAGGTACTGCAATTTTGACTGGCTTTTAGGTAGTCCCTGAGGGGTATGTTACCAATTTCCTTGTACCTTCTGCTTTTTCAGGCACCTGAATGAGAGTTTCAAAAGCTTAACAGAAATTAGTACACTTGGGGCTGCAGGTCTGTGCCAAAGCAGTACAAATATCTAACACGCTGCGTTAAAGCTTAGCTAGATGGAAACCTTTCAATTCCACTGCACTTTCAACTGCTGCCAACCTGGCACTCCAGTGTGCAAGTTTTGAATCAGGCCTGGTGTATTTTTTTTCCAAGCAGATTTTTTCCTTACTGTAAAAACCGACTGCTCTATTTCCGAATAACACTTCATTTATGGCATTAAAGGCAACTTGAAGGAGCTCTAGGACAAACCCTGGGTGACTTAAAAAGAAGAAATAATTTCTTACTAAATACATTTTTCCTCTTCATCTGTATACACATTTTTTGTTAATTGGAGAGTTGAACACAAATACTGGGTATTTCTTTGCTTTTTTCTTATATCTGCTACTGAAATAACTGAAATGTTTTAAATAATGAATACAAGAAGGGGTATCAAGGGCTTCATAAGCAGCTAGTGCTTTAGAGACTCTTTTGGATTTGGATATTGAGTTTCAGACATCAAGAAGGGTTTTGTTTTCACAAAGTATAGCTCATCAATCTATTTTTCAGGTGTTCAACACAGTAAATTAGGGGTTTTTTTTCGTATCTTTACTTCTACGCTTTTCCAGAAAACCAGAAAGAGTACAGTACAGGGCAGATTCAATACCTAGTGCCAAAAGTGAAGGTAGTATTTTAGTTTGTAATTTTTTTTCTTTAATTACTCTAGCTGATGATTCAAACATTTAAGAGCTTGAGCTCTTAATCTAATGCTCTGTATCGCTACTGAAGACAGAGCTCTGATCAAGACAAGAAATTTTAAATGTGATATATGAATATATGTGACTCTGTATTTGTTAGAGAGATGGAAAAAGAGAGACCCTCAGCATTTGTCTGTGACTCCAGTGTGCTGTGTTAATGTCCTGGCTGCAAGCAGCTGATTCTCTTCAAGTACATTTGACCTAGCAGATGTCCTAAAGTTAGGGAGCTATGACCTCAAGCACTGGCTCCTGGAGAGGCTGGCTCTCAAAGAGGAGCTCCCAATGAGGCAGTCAGAGAGAGACAAAATAAGGAAGAAAAATGGTTTTATTTGTTGCATCCGGTTAACTGGTAACAAAACAAACAGAAAAACATACACAATTATATCCTGGATTTCGAGAGCTTCAATTCCAAACTTTGTTTGACCTGCTTACTTTGGGATGGCTTTAGAAAATGAAATGCTGTCTTTTCCTGCTCTGTTTCCTGCCTGGGATTTATGGCTGTGATGGACCTCAAAGGACTGCATAATGTTCAGTGTCGTAGGAAGTGAAGTAGATTTAGCTGCGAACACAAACTGAAAAGGGGATTATCAGCAGATTTCTGCAGCACTTGTGTGTATCACATGTAGCAGACTCATAGGAGTTTTCTCCCCTCTTCTTCTGGCTTGTTTATACTCAGTAAATTGCATGTCTGGGGATTGTATGTTGTGGTCAAAATGTCATCAGTTATAACTTGAGTAGTTTTAAGTTGGTTACATTGCTCTAAAATATTCCACGTTGATACTATCTTGTTCCCATAAAAAATACGGACATTGGCTATTTCTATTGCAACTGTTGAATGTTTCAGGATTTTTTTTGAGGTTTGGGCCTAAAATAGTGCTTTATTTATAGGCATTTTGAGCTGTGCATTGTCTTGTCAGAATGTGTGAACGGATTATGGTACAGGCAAAAACCTGCTTCTCATAATCCACAGGGAAATCAGATCGCAGAGCAGTGAGTGAACCTGTGTGGTTTTCAAATTGGGTTTAACCAACAGCAGCAGAACTTGTGCTGTAGAAGTCAGTGGGAACAAGATATAGGTGCCACTGGAATGAGTGTAAACAGAGGGGCAGTAGCATTTCCTCACTTTCAACCGGTGTCTGATTTGAAGAGAACTGAATATAAATAATAGAAATGATGAGTTTTAAAATTTCTTTTAGTGAGAGCCTCATAACTGATGTTGAACTTATGACAACTAATGCATTTGTTTTTATTGTGCTTTCCTTGAAGTACTATACAGGTATCACTTTGAATTCCCAATTCTCTTCTACACACTGGAATAAGCCAGCATGCTAGTGCCTTACCTCCTAGGCATCCTGTTTTCAACCCCTCAAAAAACCCTGATTTTTTTTCTTTTTCTTTTTTTTTTTTTTAAATCACTGAGCATCCTCCCCCAGGCCATCTTAAATATGTATATAGCAGGTCACTTCAGAGAGGAGCAATAATCACTGGGAAATTTTGGTCCCTGTACATTTTTAAGATGCTGGCTGCTCCCAGGAGGGAGAGTACACAGCTTCTTCATCACGTGAAGCTGCACTGCAGATGCTTGGGTGGAACCCCTTAGAGGGGTTCAAGCCTTTTAGACCCTCCAGAAAAGTTGTACCTGTGGTCTTGTAACATCTTGAGCACTTTGGTTCCTCTTTCTTTCTTTGGTTTTTATGTATTCCATAGGAATAGAAAGCCACTATTGTTTCTCAGGTTATATCACAAAACAAAAGCCAAAACTTCTACTAAGAGAATATTTACACGAAGTACTGAGTAGCCATAATTTTCTGCTTCTCATGGTAGGCCTATGCCTTCCTATAGTTTTTTTAATATAAAGCACAAAATATGGCTGAAGGAGAACCTGTGTTAAGGGAAAAAAAACCTTTCCAGATCTAGAACAGGACCTCAAGGGAAGCGAGTTCAATTCCAATATGTCACATAGGACATGTTGTTGCCCTTCTTATTCCTCGCACTTCCCCATGGATTACTAGTTACTCCTGCCTTAAAAGGAATGTGGCAAGGCAAAATTAATAATTTTATAGACTCTTCTTATTATAGCAATGTGGGTCAAACAGAATAAAAAGAGTGTAAGAATACAAGTAAGAGGAAAAATGAATTAAGTTCTGTTACTGATTTAATTTAAGAAAAGCTCTCTTTGAACTTAGGGATTAAGGACTGCAGGATATAGGAAAATATTAGAGAATGTAAATCCTGTGTCTTTGGCACTTGATACCTAAAGCTCTCAGCATAAAACCTGCGATGACAGAATCCCTGAAATCTAGGTGTTAGCATATACCTTCTGTCCCAAGCCTAACTACCCAAGCAAACAAGTTCTTAAATACATATTTAACATCAAAAGCACATGAAAAATTATACTGAAAGCAGGTATTTGCTGGATGGTCTTAGGATTCCAATAGTAAACTTAGTTTGGAGGAACCTGAACTTTACCTGCTTTTTTTCTTAAAGAGGGGGGAAAAAAAAGTATTCTTATCTCAGCCCAGTTTCATTCCCCTGTGTGAGTATCTAGGGAAAAGTTCAGTTACTCTTCCTAACACTCAGACTATTTTAGAGCACACAAAAAAGAAAAGAACCACTGCTGAATGAGACTCTGTGTCTCTTGCTTAAGATGGCTCTCATCTTGCTGTAGAAATATGTGTGAAAGCAAAAGGGACATCTGCGCCAAAGAGCCCAGTAACCCAGAAATTTCCTGCCTCATTCTTTCCTATGGAGAATGCAGGGATTTGGGAGCTCTCAAGACAAACATGCATCTATATTCCCATGTAAAACAACTGTACAGCTGTCAGGATTGCAGGATGCCACAGAGTGTAATTTTTTGAGGCAAACTATGCTAGGAAGAGATAATCCTGCCTTTTATTTATACATTAAAAAAAAATATTTAAAAAAACCCCAATGTGTTACGTTACCCATTAAAGTCATACTGATGCTAGGGTAAACAAACATGAAAACAGCTAATTCCTACGCTCTATGGTTGTTTCATGCAACTAAGATTTTGTGACAGTTTGTGCTGTAGTGCTTTATAATGCTTGCTCACTTGTACCAGACACACCATGAGAGAAGACTGATTGGTGAGGGTGGGTGTTGTCTTTCTCTTCTGGCGATGATATAGGGTTACATAAAACTGGAAGTAAATAGTTGTCTATCACTCAGGACAAAGATACTTTTCTGCTGAGTTCACCTCAGATGCAATTAAAGCCAGAGCAGTGATACAGACTGGGATGAATGGTTGTAGGAGACCTATGAAGTTCCTGATGTAACATAGGCTTTCCTGGCAGCTGTGGAAGTTAGAGACTGTATACCTTTGCTCCCATTCGGTTTGAGAACTGGCAGACATCCCATTTTTGTCCTGCACAGAACCCTGATGACAACCATAGGTTGTCCTCTGCTGCAGCCACTGCTCCTCCCTGGGAGCACTGCTCTCTGGAAATAGTGCCTGTGCAAAAACTGATCGATTTACTTTTCCACTTCATCTTAGTTCTTCAGCTGGGAAAAAATAACAGCAAGTATAGAAGGTCTGTTTGCAGGTGACATTTACCCTTTTACTGGAGAGCACTAGGACACTGCTTTTTGGATCCTGACTAGAGATAAAACCTGATATGCAAGATTGCCCAGCAGAACTCTTTGAATGTGTCTGAGTTGGACTAGCCAAGGAAATATGCTCCCCCTTTCTCTTTCCTTCTCTCCCACCTCTCCCTGCACCTCTTTCATTTGGATGGCAATGGTGGGAAGAAGGAACGTGAAAGACAGGAATAAAAATAAAATATCAAGAAAGTTGATAAGATCAGCCTAAGAAACTGATTTTTCCTATTGTATTTAAAATCCATGCACTCAACAATTTTGACAGTGTAGGTGTGCAAACATGCTGGCTGACTGCACTGATGTGAACTGAGCTACTCTGTTGTGACCTGCTGCCAGTATGTCAGCATGAGAACACTCCATCACTAGCAGGGACCAGTTCAGCAACAGTTCTGAGAAAACAGTGTTTTAAATAGCACCTTACTAATACCTTGTGCTTCTCTTCATAGTTTGGTTTTTTCTTTTCTTGGCAATAGATCTGCACATACTTTAGTTAAAGACTACTTAGATTCTACGATGGAACTGAACTCTCTTCCAGAAGTTAAAATCAGTCAGCTAGAGTTCTTGTGTGGAAAAAAATATTAATCTTAGTTTCCAGTCTTACAACTCGATTCATGCAGGATGACCTATAGTGCAGTTGGAAATTCCCCTGAAGTTTAGGGAAAATCTTTATACAAACAAGTATCTGAAAATTCATGACCTTGTATGTTTTGTCACTCGTAAGACCAGAGCTGTTGTCAAATGTTTTACTATTTGAAAAGAAATGTATTAAAAAATCAGTCATTTATCTTTAATGAAATATCAGTTAATTTTTTAATTAGAATTAAACACCAGCCTTTCCTCATGTGAGTACTGAAGCAAACACACAGGATCAGAAAGAAAAGGCAAAGAGGATAAGGAGATTTGCTGTATATTGGTTTGGGTTCATTTGTATCAGTTGAAGCACAACAACTAAAAAAAATTCTTTCTACCAAGAACCAGGCATGAATCTGATAGAGACATCTGTGACTGGAAAATGTGCTATGCTCTAGCCAAGCTGTCTCTGCAGAGTGAAATATGGGGTAAGTGAAAGTACTGCCCCGGAAATGCGAGCAGTAGTAAAGCTATACAGATGTGAGAGAGAGGTTTCTCCTCTGCTCAGCAATACCTCCTGCCAATTTAGGGCAGCAAAAGAAAGGAGAGGAGAATAAATGCTCAGGGCTGAAAGGAAAACAAGGAGTAGAGAAAAGAAAATGAAGTGGCAAGCAACGGACTGCAGAAAACACTATGAAAACAAGACAAAAGTATTTCTTCAGCATTTGTACGTTTCTCACAACACACCACTAACTCACCCTGATAAGTCAACCAGCCAGTTGGCACCCTGTCCTGGAGTAAGCTAGCTGACAAAAAGAGAAGAATGCATTTCAGGAATGGCTGAACCAAGCACAGTATCTGTATGTAAAACTATAAGGTCACCTTCAAGAGCTCATTTAGTCTACAAGTTAAACAAATGTAACTAATGTTTCTTCAGATTTATGACTGTTTGAGTTGTCCAACAGAGATTTTCCTCTAATCTGGTAGTGTATTTCTGGCCAATTCCTTCTGAGAGGGCTAAAATCTGCATTGGTTATTCTGCTTATTGCAGATTAGATCCACAAAGACCCTACTACCTCTTCTGACTTGACTGTGAGGATGCCAAAAGGGTGATCTGCAAAATCAAAGGCTGGTCAGCCTGCCTTCAGTCTCTGGAAAAACTACAGGGCACATCCTCTTAGAAGCTACTTCTGTGCGTGCACAGAGGTCACCAGTTAACAGTCAGCATGGATTTACTGAGGGTAAATCATATATGATTGCCTTCTATGATACAACAACAGGATTTGTGGATGTGGGGACATCAGTTGGTGTCCATAGCTTGACTTGCAGCAATCTGCAGGCAGGTAGCAATAAAGTGCAGAGATTCAGAAGGCTGTTTTGAAGG